TATTCTTTAATCAATTACCCCTAACATTCATATTCAGTAGATAAGCTATCAGAAAACTGCGATTGTAATTTTTGTAATTCACAACATTTTAATTGTTTCCAGTTGGCGTTAACGAAAACGTTAGAACAGATATCGCGAGAATACCAACAAACGCAAAATCGTAAATTAAAAGACGAAAATACTTTAAATTCTCCTGAAAAAGGTAGTGTAATCTAAATCCTTATTAAGTAGTTACTTAATTGTTGCGCGAGTCTGGAAGTTGAAAATCACTTTGAAAAATACTTAAATTTAATAGTATTGAGAAATATCACTAGAAGAAATATTTGTTAATCGGTATAAAAAAAACATTCTATTAAAGATTAATCTTAAACGTAATAAAATTTCAGTATTTAATTTTGGTTCATATATGCAACAAAACCGTGAAACCGCCGTAGATTGGATTACAAAAGATTCGGTACCGATTTCTTTAAAAAAGGATAATTCAAATGACACACAACTTACTCCTGGTGTTTATCTTAAATGGACAAATTCTTCTAAAAATATTAGTTAAGATTCCTATGAAGAATACTATTTTAACATTCTGAGTTATCAAAATACTACTATAATATTTAAATTAGAATGGTAATTGCTATTTAACAAATAAATCTGTAAAATAACATTTTCTATTAAATATGTAATTATAAAATATAAAGTTCAAAATACAATGCATTTATATTAAATTCATTTCTTAATAACAAAACTTATGCGTTTCTCTTTAAATTATGTATTACTGCTTGTCGTGGATTGACCAACTGTATGTTTCTTTTGTTGCATTTTGTGTCTGTTTAAGAAATTTGTAAAAGACTCTACTTCCATTTTATCTCCTTCATCTTCCTCTTCTCCTTTAAATGGATTTTCGGTACCTTCTTCATCTTCACTCGATTCATTACCAGCGTGTTTCAAATATATGTCTGATATTTCTCTTCCACTATTAACTGTTGTTATTAATGGAATATCTTCTCCTGCAACTTCCCGAGTTGCTTTCTCAAATTGTTCTTTTTCTGCTTTTTGTCGTTGAGCGTCTCGTTTTATCTTCATTTTTCTCCAAATTTTCTTATATTCCCTTTAACAGAAGAATTATTTTTTTCTATTTCTCGCATAAATATTTATTATTATTCAATTCATTTACCTTTCATATTCTTCTTTCGCATCTTTAACAAGTTCAAGAAACTTAGTAATACCAGCCCCTGTTGCAGCAGAAACTCCACAACTACGTAAATGGCTATAAAATTCATCAAGTGTAAGAGCCATGCTACGTGTCAAATTACTAATGTAACTTGTTTCTGAATCCAAAGCTTCCTGGAATGCCTCAAAATCTTGCATCCAGTCTACTGCATAACTGTGTTCTACAATGTCGATCTTAAAACCATACAATTAGAATTAGACTAACAGATTAATTATCAGATAACATAGATAACTATCAAATAACACAATAATATTATGCATTTTAACAATTACCTTATTCATAGTAACAATAAATGGTAATTTAGTTTTATAAAGTATAGAACATGCATAAAGCATGTTGGACATAAATGTTACAGGATTCACACTTCTTACAGTATCCAATATGTATACTACAATTGTTGGAAATTCAGATGCTAAAGCTTCTGTTATGATTGTACCACTTGCTGACCACGTGAAAACTTCAATTTGTCCAGGAGTATCCAAAATTACATATTCATGTTCTTTGCTTGCTTTGCCAATAAGTTCTATAACTTGATCAAATTTTGTAGAAAAAAGATTTAAGGCAGTAACAATACCACCATTTGGTCCTAAACTATACTGTTTCATTACTTCCTTGTAATTGACAGTATCTCTAATATCTGAAACATTAGGAACTTAATAAAACACATTTACAATAAGCAAACATTTACAATATATTAATAATATATTACCTATATTGGCAGGATAAGGAACTTCTCTACATGCAGGATCCAAATTTATGACATATGGTTTTCCTACATTATACAATATCGAAACGAGTCTTTGTACAAATGTAGTTTTACCAGATCCAGCCATTCCAAGAATAATGATACATGTTGGTTTCTTCTCTCTAACATCAGTTTGAATAGATATATCAGGCTGCGCAGATATATTTTCTTTAGAAAATTCAGAAGTATCCACAGATTCAGACATATTGAACACTGTAAATATTTTTAAGAATTTTTGTGTATTAAATTATGCTATATTTAAATGTAATTAATTTAAATAAATTAATTTAAATGTAATAATTTTGATAACTCGTATTCACTAACCTATTTAAATTTTTAGAAACTACTAACAAAATACAATACACATTATTTTACAATTTTCGCGCAAATATATATTACAATTGAATTATAATAATATTCTACAGTAATATTCTATTTATTTTAATAATCAGTTTTCTCAATGTATGAAAAAAAAAGAAGTTAACTTCTTCACAAATTTCTTTCAAAATAACATATACACCATGCTTACTCTATTAGTAACAGATTATTAACAAATAGAATAGTTTTTATATATGAATGATGACAGAGTATCAATTAATGTTTTTGCGCATGTTTGTTTCCCCAAATGTTAGCCTCATAAAAATAAGCAAAAACGATCTCTAGTGATTTTGTGTAGAGTATCTTGGTAATATTATTACACTAGGATTTAAATTCATAGTTTTTTATGCGTCATAACAGAACATCATATAAAATATCGATATTTTTAATAAGATTTGAAACTTTATCCAATAAAAAAGAGGAAATAAAATTTTTAGACATTGATTAGTCGATATTGGATCAATTATTTAATCTAATTTTTGTAGAAAATATTTAAATTTTTTTACATTTATTATTAATTATACAAATTGTAAAATTATGCAAATTTTACAAAAATTTTACAAAAATTAATTAAAATTGTACATTAAAATTGTAAAATTATGCAAATTTTACAAAAATTAATTTCTTGACCTTACATTTAGATATTATAAAGATCTATAATAATCATGTAGAATGTATTACTTTTTTTAGTAAGTTCAAACTATTTTAATATTATTTTTTTAAATTAGATTTGAACAAAAGAATTCTTATATAATTATGTTGTCTTGAAGTGATCATCTGTACAAGTAGTATAAATGTGTCCTTCACTTGTAAGAAAGTCGATTATATCATCAACTATTGGCAAAATATTCTTTGGAACGCGATTCTTGAGAGTTTTTCGCTCTATTCCATTAACAGAGTCATTCTCCGCTTGAATAACCCTAAAGACTGTGTTTTGATCTTTAGTTAATCCAAGATTATCATCTGGCATAGGAACATCAGAATCTTTATATTGATCATTAGAAGTTTTCTGAATATGTAATGTTACAAAGGTCACTTCCAATAAATGATTAGTTAGTTCATTTAAAGTAGCCACGGGACAAATTTTTGCAATCAATATATGTTTTTTTTCATTTTGTTCTTTTATATGTCCAAATACTCGTACATAAGTATTTAAATTAATTACTGGCTCTGATATATTTTCTGGTACTATCCATTGGAAACATGCAATATGGTCTGTAACAATTAATCAATATATTAATTCTATAATGCTTGTCAAAAGATTTATTGATACAAAAGGTCATATTGACAATAGCAACTTATTTCTAGGATTTAATAAATCGCAAAATATCCTTCTTTGATACCTGTTTCATCTTCAATTTCATATGTCACTTTTGTACTTTTCTTTTCTATACTTTTTACAATTCCTATAAAAGTAACAATGTTACTTTCCAAATTTTCAGATTGTGTTAAGTGCTGAACCATAACAGGGATTATTTTGTTGTTTCTTGTAGCACTTTTTTTATTTTCATCATTTGAATTCTGACTATCGTTCAAAAATCCCCCTGATGTACTCATGCTATTATCGAGGTTAGTCCACATTATGAGTAATTAATGAGAATGTAAATTATTACAAATAAATTCGTAGTAGTATGCAAATATACTATAAAATATAATTTAATAATTCAATATAAATAATAATATTTACTATTTACTTTAATTGTCAATCATATACTACGATGTACGTATATACATAGATCTTAAACCGTGTATTCACCGATTGCACTTTAAGCATGTATCACACGCGAATAGAAATCTTTTGTGTAATCTTATGTGCATTTTTGATGCAAAATATCTTTTCATCTTATATTATAGAATATAATTGGTGATAATACCATTAGTATGAAAAATAAATCAGAAATATACAATATAGAAAGTCTCCCTACAATACTAACACCTCAAAAAAATGTACCATGTGAAAATAATTTTAGGTACTACAATTTTAACATTAATTTTATTACCACAATCAGTATAACTTTTCAAAATATAAAAATATAATTTTTTAATGCACACATCTTTATTATAGTTTATTAATACATTAATGACTAATAATTTTACAATGCTCATTGGTAAACAAGTATCCTCAATTTAAATAGAAATAATTAAAATTTAAATAAATTATCTAATGACTAATTAGGCAATATATCAGTTAGTGTTAATCAATTAAAATTGACTAAATGCATAAAAAGAAACAATCTTTTCCATTTCATATAAATTTATCCAATTTATTAATTTCATACAGTTTAATTAATTAATTATTTAAATTACATAATTAACAAGTAATAAATTTATTCATATACAATGTAAAAAGCAAAATACAAATAAAAAATTTTGATATTAAAAAAGAATAGATTTGATATTAAAAAGGTAACATTTTTTTAAATTAACTTCAATTTTATAACACTTTTCATTTATAAGACAATTTATAATTTATATGAAAATAACGAACAATTTCAATAAGTTTTGAGATAATAAAAAATTATACTTCAATTTTTACATACTTATAAATAAAATCAATAATGAATAATTAAAAAGTATTTCTCAATATTATTTGCATATCCAAAAATAATAGAATTTGAATTTAGCCCAATTTTATTAATCCAATGTGGCATTTTTATCAAATATACTGTTTAGTTATTTTTGAAATATGGTTCACATAAGACGGCAGTGTGTCCTATTTTAACATGAAAATATCAAACAAAAATTGTGCATGTCAAATATTATTAAATTATTTTGAAGTATTACTGAATTACTTTTATGAATTTAGTATAAAATTAAAACATTTGATTTGCAATAAACAATTCAGTCAGTATTTATAATTGATTAGGACTAATAACTATGTACACAATAAATGAATTGGTTTTAAAAATCAGTGAATAGTTGGATGGACATTCTTTGTACAAGAATTTTCGTATAATTTCAGCTTTTTAAACTGCTTAGAAGTTTTAGTGTAATTTGAGCTCGAGATTTTAATGATCTGCAACTTTGTCCCAAACTATCCTGTCCATGTTTAATTATCGTCACACACAAATCATCTTCATCGTTACTTAGTCCTGTATGCAACTGATATTTTTCAAATTCTGTTAGTACCGAATCTAAATTTTGAACTTTTTCTTCAAGTAACATTGCTATTTCTTTCCAACTCTGTAACATAGTAAAGGAATAAATTAAGACATTGCTTGAATTAAAAATAAACTCTAAATTTACATCTATTCATTCAATTAACTTACATAATCATTTACACTATCATTTAATGAATGATTAGATGTTATTTGTTTGTTACATTTCTTCTTATTCTTCTTTTGTGAAGTCTTAGGTTGTAATTGTGTTGCACACAGAGTACATATGGCACTAATAATTGCAAGAGTTTCACTGCACGTTGATGCTCGTAATAAAAAATGTTTGAAGGATATTGGAATTCTCTTTTCGGGAATATCTATCGTCTGAAGACATAATGAAACTCGCAGCATTTGAATACATTCAAAATCAGGATAAAGTGACTGAGCAAGCGATTCTGCGAATCGAGCGATTGTCTGCAGTTGTTCGGAGTAATGAGCTTCGCGTAACCTTTCAACTGCATCCATAGGAACTAACATTCTACATGGTTTGTTCTTTTTCCCCTCCGATTCAAATTTTTGAAGAATCAAAGGAATTTGTTCATTGTCCAGTTGTTTTAATTCATTAGAAAACCGTTTAAAAAGAGAGGAACTATCAGGTGCTACACATGCTGCTAAGATTTTTAAAATTAAATCTCGCACTGTTAGTAATTTTAACATACACATGCGTGTTTCTTCTTGCATTCGAATATCCTGCCCATTTTCCGTAAATAGTTCCCATCCAGGGACAACCTGTTTAAATAAAAGATTGCATTAATTCTTTTAAATTTTAGATATTTAGAAATATAGATTTATAATTACCTCTAAATCACGATTATCTCGTAATGAATTCAATCGGATAGAATCTTCAATTAATTGTATATCCATATTATCTAATGTAGAAATCAGAGATGTGGAACTATTGCACCAACTTAATTCCAATAACATCTTATCTACATTAGTCATAACGAAGTGCAAAGAATTTTCCAAACGTTCTTTTAATTCCACAAATTCTTGAATCTTTACAAAACTTCCGTATTTATAGGCAAATGTTAAATGATCTGCACTCTAATCATTATTATAATTGAATTAGATAGAATTTCTTATGAAGAATGTTGTACAACATGCAAATACATACATCTTTGTAATTTGCAATAAAAAATTTGGTAGTATGATCTAAAGTTATGGAAGCTAATGAAAGATGGCCAAGTGGAGCAAGTAGTGGTGAGTGTAAATAACCCAATGAATCTAATTGAATATGTTTAACATCCAATAATGTAAAAACATGATCAGCTGCACCTATTAATCCTGCTTCCAAATAGATTCGTATTAATAGAATTTTTATATAAAAATTAGCTGGACTCGATAATAAACCACGTTCTAATAGTTCCATTGCCCTGTAAAAATACATTATTATATTTTGCTACATACTAAATTTGTGCTATAATAATTACCTATAAAGATAAACTGCATCATTTGTATTGCACCATAATTCATGTAATAAATGTGTTGCCAAAAGTATATAAGAATCCGCTGGACAAAAATCTGTTGGTAATCTGTCTTGGATAGGACATAATTCATTACCCTTTTTGTATAATTTACATAACCGTTCTACCAATTGTTTTTGCTTATTTATATCACTATTCGGAGGGTGATGAAAACCACAAATGCGACGTAATTGTTCTAAGTGTATATGTCTCTGCATTTGCTGTACAGTAATTGGGAATCCTTCAGGTTTAACACCAACCTTTTCTTCTATCTAAAAACATAACAATGTTTGGAATAAAATGTACAAATGAATTGTTACTTTAATTTCAATAATACATTTTATTAGTTACCTTTTGAATTAGGTCCTGCTTGCCTGTAGGTGTTAGTAAATGTAGGTATAAACGCAAATCTCCAACTACACAACTTTTTTCTCCAAATTGTGAAAAATACTGACACATTAAATCAATTGGTTCAGTAATATTTTGAATAATTTGACTACTTTTAGTGAGCTTTAATAATTCAAATTTTGCAAGATAAGGAGCTCTAAATTTTTTCTCTGAGGAGATTATAATTTTACTAAGAAAATTTAAACATTCTTCTGGCTTTTGAAACTCAAGAGCCGCAAGAAGATAGTCTTGATAATATGTCCAATTGTCAACACTATTTATAATACACAAGTTGTATAAGACATTAAAATATTATTACTTAAAATGCACATACACTACATTAAACTCACTTTTCACTGATGAGTTCCTTATATGCATTAGCTGCTTCAGGGAAACGTTTCAATTTTAATAAAAGTGCTGCTTTGTGTTGTGAAATAGATGAAAGATGTGAAGCTAATGGTCCTGATAAAACATTTAACATTTCTTCACTTTTACCTTGAAGTTCTAATATCATTAAGTAAAGCTGTACTTCTTGTTCTGCTTCCAGTTTTCCTTCTTTAATTAATTTCAGTACCTAATTTTTATTAAAAACACTATAAAAACTACCAATGAAATATTAATTTTATAATAATTTACAAACCATTCTTTCTGCTAAAGGTAAAGTAATTTCTTTTGCTAACTTCCTATCTGAATGTATAGCTTGCATAACGACACTCATCACAGCCCAAAAATAATAAGGATTTTTTGGTTTTAATTTATATAAGGCAAGTGCTGTTTGTTGTTGTTTCTTATAATCTCCAAGACGAACATATGACATGAAGAGATGTGTTAATAATTCTTCATTGCTGGGATCTACTTTAACTGCAGCTTCGTATACTTCGCTGATTTTATCAGCTATAAAAAATTCAAAGTGATATTTAATATTTATAACAATTTTACATGTATGTAACAATTACAATTACTTATAAATATAAAAAATAACGGAACAAAATTTGAACTTACGTTGATGTCTTTCTCTGTAACAAATACTCATGACCTGAAGAGTACAATCTTCATAGGGAATCTCTGAACGTACTTTATCCATAATAGTTTGACATTCATTTTCTTTACCAAGACGTAACAAAGCCAATGCTTTGAGCACCCTGGCACACTGGTTGCTTGGCTGCTTTTTGAGCACTTTATCTGCTTCTTGAAGAGCTTTCTTATTATTTCCATTATCCAACCAATCTGAAATCCATAGCGCAATAATGTTACATAACCTCATTGCCGGTCAAGTACTGAAAGTGCATTCTCTTATAATTTAAAAAATGTAACGTTTTCCTTATTGATATTAATATTCATAATATACTTACCATATATCGGACGTAAACGACGTTCGTTAACGGTATTGTCCGCACGGGTCTTAGACGCCATGATACTTTTTATGGTAATTTTAAATCAACAAACCAAAGTTTTCCTTCATCCACTACATGTTCATAACGTAAGGCATATTTACATTGATTTTTTATGTATTTTTTTATAACTTCAAAATAAATTTAAATTTTTGCTAACAAACGGACATTTTTAATTTAATAAAAAAAATGAATATTCTTGAATTCATACAAAATATTTTTTTTTCATATGAATATTGAATAAATTACTAAACTTAAATAAACTAAAATAAATATTTTAATTGGTGTTGATTGTTTATGAAAAATTTTATTATAAACACTTAAATCAGCTTTTGTTATACAGTTATTCAATGTTATTCAGTTGCGATTTTCTTTAAAATCTATAAAGATTATATTGAAGAAAATAAATGTACATAAACATTATATTGAAGATAATAAATGTACATAACTTTATCACGCTAATATTTTAATTCAAGATAAAAGTAATTAGAACTATCAAATTACAACTGTTGTACTAAAATAAAAACGATTGAAATACCATTGTACGTATAAAAGATAAAGTTCGCGCCAGATATATTCGAGCAAATTCACAACCATATTGTAATATCTCAAGAGGGATACGCAACAATATTTAATTGAGAATATACTTTTCCAACTTCATTTCATGGTGAATCTAATCTATGTTATACATATAATTTATATTTGCACGTTCGCGCGTAAATTGTTTGATTTGCATTACACGTCTTTGATAATTGATTGTTTATTGATGTAAAGTTTAATATTTTGTAAAATTATACCTGTTTCGTTAATTCAATGTGGTCGACAAATTTGGATAGCAGTATAAATCCTCAGGGTGGATTTTTGGATAAATCGAAAAATGAAAATCAAGAAAAAGACAGCAAAAAACAAAATATTGTTCCTGCTATGATAGGAAATTTGCTCTCTTTTGATTCCATTGATGAGCCAAAAATATGGCATCTCCCAGCACGTATGTTTATGATTGTCGGATTAGTGCGTAGTGTTGAAGAGACAGCAACAAAAGTATCATACAATGTTGAAGATGAAACAGGTTTAATTTAATAACTATTTACTCTGTTTTTTTAATTTTTTTTCCTTTTTTGGTTCCTGTTTTTGTTTCTATATTAATGTATTTAGGTACTATCACTGCACTCAAATGGTTAGAAGTGAATAAGAAAGAAATTACAATACAAATGAATACATATGTTCGCATAGTTGGTTTGCTTAGAGAGCAAAATGATAAGCGACATATTTTAATCTTACGAATGTCACTACTACAAACCTTGAATGAATTAACAAATCATATTCTTGAAGTTACTTACGTTACATTGCAAGCTAAATTAATGGCGCAAAAACATGAAACAGTTGATGAAGGAAGAAACGTTGAAAATTATTCACCAAATGAATCTTCTGCTGCTGGAATGTCAAAAGGACAACATTTAGTTTATAAACTTATTCAAGCACAAAATGATACTGAATCTGGCATTGAAAGAACAGAAATTAAAAATACAGTACCAGAATTTCTTTTACAACATGTAGATGATATCTTGGAATTTTTAGTCTCCGAAGGTCATATATACACAACAAGTTCAGATGATCATTTTAAAACAATCTAAATAATTAATATAAATTGTAATCTTCTTGTATTTTCCATGAATCTCTTGATCTTTTTGTTTAATCTTTATTGTTATATTAAAAAGTTACTTTTGCAGCATATAAAAAAAATAGTAATCTTGTAACAAATATAGTTCTTTTTATAAAAATCCTTCTATGTATATATTTCAATAAGCAGTGTAAATGTTTTTACCCTTTGTAGAATAATGAATAAAAAATTTTTTTCATTGATATGTTATTTCTATAAACTTTCAATATTTAATAAATTTTTTAACAATGCATTTTTTGTGTTATTAAAAATCATAGTAAATTATTTTTTTACATCTAAACATAGTAACAAGTAAAATTTGGTATGTAAAAATTTACACTTTTTTTTCTTTCTGATCTATTTTTACAAAAAAAAAAA